ATCTAACGGCTGGTGCCCCCGTGCTCCTGGCCCGAAGGAGAAGGAGCCTGTCTCCCTCCCCCCACTGCTTACAAGCAGAGCTCATTTTATTTCCACTAGTATTGGAAAGTCCTGAGCTGACGCTGAGATTCCAGGGCCAGCACTGGAAAACATTGGAAAATGTTATTTGTCAATCCAACAGGTTGATGCCCTCAGTGACTCTCCCAAGGTTGTGACCCCTCTTCTGGACCAGTGTCCACGATGACTGATCTGGTCATTATTTCAGGGCTGAGACAGTAAAAGAGGTGCTGGAGGCAGGTGCTGGATGCGTGGGGCAAGGTGGTGGTTAAAGCCCTCAAGTAGACAACATGTAAAAACTGAATTTCACCTTGGTAGAAAGGAGAACTGGGTGTGACTTGCCGAGCAATAGGGTCATGCTGCCTTGATCCTGGTCATGTGGGAATGGATTTTGAGTCCCAGTATAAGTTTAAGACTGTGTAAAAACTTTTTGATGGTTTTCAAGACTTATTTTGAATACATTTTAACTCCTTAGTTGTGTTGCGTAAGGTGCATCCAAAATCAGAAGGAGCTTCAACTCCAGGGAAGGGCTTAGGTGACCAGAAACTTAGTTTTTAAAAAGGGGGGGAAGCCCTTGGTTTTAAAAATAGTCCATGTACTTGAAGCATAACTATATTAAAGCAATAATAGCTTTAAGATCATCAGCTAGCATTATTAACTTATTGCTACAGCATTTAACCTACAGGTAGACTTTGGTTGCAGTGGTACGGCAGATGGACTTGGGTTGTCATGTTTGTGGTCTCTGTTCACTGCACTGTAGGGGTGTTCAAGCGTCCAGGTTGCCCATGAACCTGAGAACTTGGCCTTTGGTTCTTTGGTACCCTTTAGGAAGCCACTGCATGTCATCCTGGTCTCTAACAGCAGTGGTAGTCTTAAGAGACTACCTGCCCTGGGCTTCCCTTCTAGAGAATTTATTGTAAGGTCATATCTACAATAGTGGATCAACTGTCATGCAATACCACTGGCTTACAACTTCATAATTGTGAAGTAGTATGATAATAGGGTTGCTGTGTTCCTTTTTTGTGTGGGCTTTTATGGGGTAAGGAGTGGTTTGTAAGGATTTTCCCTTCCATTGCTCAAACTGAGTCATAAGCTCCGTTTGTGTGGAGAGCTGAAGTTACCCATTCAAAAACTGCCTGCTGTTTTAGTCCATTTAAAAAAAAAAAGTTTTAAATGGGCCTAATTCTGAAGTGATCATGGTTTTCTCCTAGTTATGGTTGCTTATGGGACTTTAAAGAGAATGAATGGCATGCTTGTGATAAAATGTATTCGAAGATGTGGGGTTTTCAGAAACTTTTCCAATGCCCTAACTAGAGCACGATCTGATTTAGCATATTTGTTTGACTTATTTAGTAAACAAAACTAAAAAAGTACCCCCATGTTAATTTTATGTCCCAATAGCCACAAGTACCTGAACTGAAATATTTGATTTGGAGAAAAATTAAATACAGCATACTAAACGTGGTTTAAATGTTATATTCAAAGCTTTATGTGGAAAGAAATTATTTTTATTGGAATACTTGTAAAAATATAAAGACAATACACAATAGCATGTACTTCCCTTACATTGTTTGTTTAATTTTAAGAAGGAAAAAAAATGAAGGCACTGAAAACTTGACACAGTAATTTTAGCACACCCAAAGAACTGACTGTGCATGATATGCCATGCTTTGGTTTTGATTTGACCTGCACAGCTGATTTAGGTGAATTCATAACTTGATTTTTAGTTTGGATTATTATGTGAGCATATTTACTCTCCTGTTTACAAATCAATAAAATATATATGTACTCCCTCACACCCTTCCTACAGATAATCACCTGAAAAACATTACAACTTTGAAACTGCCAAGCTTGTCTAATATTATATGGGCATCCATCCATTGTTACTAATGAATTTTATGAAACAATTAATTTTTAGAAATGGAAAATTTCCCACAGAAAAATAAAGCACTGGAAAATTTTCCACCCCGCATCTCTGAACATTTTTACATATGAAACTTGTATTTGAGCTGATCTCTGCTAATGCCTGTGTAACATTCTTTCGACTTATCCTTTAAATAAATTGGTAAATGTCTTCTTTCTGTGACAGCTTAGAAAAAAACACATTTTACTACTTCCATCAGTCTTGACTTTGCACTTTGGCAGCCTTAATAAATTTAAAATTATAACATGTTAAAATAAAACCTTCATAACCCATTACTAAATGAGTTTTTCAGCTACTACAGTGCATATTTGACCTCTAGTACAATTTAATGTTATATCATTTTAGCATATAAATAAATATTTTTAATAAACTTAATTCATCTGATCATAGTGTTCACTTGACTATCAGAACGGACAAGTAATTGAAAATTATTTTCGGTGTTATTTAGGAACATGTCCCAAAGAATTGGAATGACAATATTTTGAAACACTTATCTGTTATGCTGCCATTTAAAAACAACAACAAAACCAGCTTGATTTGTTGCTGCTTAGTCTGGCAGAGTTCTGCCCGGTTAGGCTGATCTCAAGAGCCTGTCTTTTCATCTGATTCCCTGGACTTCTTTTCCTCTTCCTCTTTAACTCCCCATTTCGTGGCTAACTGAAGTGGGCTAGGAAAAATCCTTTTCTATAATAGTACAGGACAACTCAATACTTAGTCTGGACAACTGAAGTACAGTTGCTTCCTGCCACAGCTTACTGACATGTAATTAAAAATCATGTATTCATTAGGCTAAACAAACTGGTCAGTCTGATACTCAAAATGAAAATGGGCTTTCAGCCAGGGGCTTCTTGTGAACTGCATCAAATTGAAAAAGAAATGGATGAGTTGCTGCTTGCTAAAGCTGTCCTTCTAGTTTTCTGGTATTACATTTGGAGTGCCCAGAGCTATTAACTTTGTAGGCTTTTGTCTGCTGGTGAGCAGTTGCTGTTCAGTAATATGTGGGGATCCATAGACTACAAATGAAAACTGAGCATCTCCAGGCACCCACAATTTAAGTGGAAATCGCATAAAAAAAATTTGTCTCCAATTGAACTGAGAAGCAATCATGATGGTACACAAACCTTTCTTTTCTGGAAACTCTACAGAAGTACATTTTTTTTTTTTTTTTTTTTTTTTTTTTTTTTTTTTTAAAGAAAAACAAAAAATCAGTAGTATTGTCCCAGCTGTCCTCACCTGACATAAAGCATCAGAGCCTCTTCTGTTAGCTACATTTACTTGATTGGTGGGCTTTATATTTTTCTTACTGCTTGTTGCATCTTTTGCCATCATTAACGGAACTGAACAACAAAACATAGGTCCAGCCATGTAAGTTGAGCATAAATATGCCTACCCTGCCATGCACCCTTCTGGAGGATTGAATTCCAGCTGTTAAACAGGGAATCACACTTGTCAGGCGGATAGCTTTTAAAGTTAGATTGACCAGGATCAAATTTTAAAAATAAACTAACCTGGACTACTAGAGCTCTTGCAGTTCACAGGTTGTTAATTTTAACCCATCACGCAAAACAGAAGATTGTGCAACTAGTTTTCTTCTGTGGGTGATGGTGGGAGGCAGGGAATCCTTGGAAACTATGTGGACATAGGTAAGCCTTGCAAGAAGCTGCAGTTTGATGGCATCACAAGAAATTTGTTTCCCTGCTGCGTGAGTGACTAATTAGTAATTTCTCAGTGTGGAGGTCTCAGTGCCTGCTTATCTGTTGTCTGTCTTCAGTCGTTTATATCAGTTAAACTGTACTAATAAATGGGATATCCCGCTCTGTTATGTTAGTGGCAGCAGCTTACACTCCTTTTTGCAGAGGTCTAACAGTATAAGGTAGTAGATAAGTTTGACCCTAGTGTTTGTTATGTAAGAGAGCTGTTCAGGATGCCAGAATGTGGTCAGCTTTCCCAGCTGAATGACACTTGGGAAAGGAGAAACTGTGGACATGACTTAATCCTTTGAAAATGAATACAGTCTTCCACTTTTCTCTGTGTGTTTTTGTGTTGTTTTTTTTTTGTTTGTTTGTTTTTGTTTTTTTAGGGTAACTCCATACTGCAGCAGTAATTTTTCCTTTGCCAAGGAGAGAGAATGTTGATATTAAAAGCTTGTGATACTGCTTTTTATTGAGAGGTTTTAACTATGCAGGTTTATTAACTTCTCATGTTGTGGAATTATCTAGTTTCATAATTACTATTTCAGTTTGAATTGGG